TATAAATAAATAAACATATTTTATGTTATCAGAAATGACAACACTGCTAAGGTGATAGCTATGACCGCCCCACCCAACCCCGCCAACCAGTGATGCTCCGTCTATGAGTATAAGGTCTATGAGTCACCTAGCTTTGGTCACCCAACTTCACACACATATTTGTTCAAAATATTTGAATTGACATTTGGCTCGTCGTGTTGTAAACAAATTTTTATTTTGTGGACAATTTTAGAGTTTTTTGAAACCAAGTGTATGAATTTGAAATTTTATTTTAAGATTTTAAGATTTTTACACCAACATGGTTTTTAAATAAATATAACAGATTATAAGTAGGTACTCCTAATTCGTATTATATTATCGGAAAAGGTTTGAGTAACTTTTTATTGTAATTTATACTAAAATTATTAAAAATTAAAAAATTTGTAGATTTATTGCCATTTTTTAGGGCATTTTTCGGGGTTTTTAGGGCATTATTTTGAGTTTTTAGGTCATAAAAGCATTTTTTTTAGGACATTTTTCGTGGTTTTCGAGGGCATTAAAATCCCAGCCCTAGTTATAGCACAGACTATAGGAAATATAGTATACTATACTATAGGTACTAAACTATTTTCATATAGCCTTTATAGTCATAGAGTTTAAAAATCTAATTTCATGAAATTTAATATTGAAACAAAACTTTCGAAATTGAGTATATAATATTATATACTCAATGTTAACGATTTTCCAACAAACAGATTTGGTTTTTCGATTGTAATTCAAAAGATAAATACTGTAGAAAGTACAGGAAACATATCCCCATTAATATTCTTATTTACTAAACACAAGCTAGTAGGCAGGCATTTGCATTGATTACACATAATTCATAGTACTATATTACTTTGTATAATCAATGGTAGTACTAATAGATAATAATAAATATAAACATAAATAATATATTTGTAATATCATTATTATGTATAATAAATGATATTAGATAATATTAAGCCATTTACAAATTACAACTAAGGTACTTGATATCTTATATTTTGTTCAATTTTAATTTTTCAGATTCTAAGGTAATGAATCAGGCATGTATTACTCTTGGTCTGTTCAAAATTAGGAATATTCTTGGCGACTACCACCAACATTCTATTACTAATTGTATTTTACATAAAAATATTTTAATCTATTTTTTTTTACTGTTTTTTAATGATAATTTAATATACTTATTTCTTACAAAGTTATAATTACAAATATGGATTTTATAAAGTTCTAAGGTTCTGGAGTTAATCATCGTACACATTATTCATTGTAAATAGCTGATCTATTTGCATATTTTATTACGATTCATGATATTATTATTAACTTATAACTTAAAATATAAAACAAATCACTGGGAGAAAAAGAAAACAGAATTGTATTTTATTGAATAGGTACCAATATAATATTTTATTCAGTTACACTCAGGATTTGTTTCTGGGGGGAGGGAGGGGGGCTTAAACTTCCATACTTAACTCCATAGGAAAATAGGATATAATTTTAAAACATATATATATATATATATGCTATTTAATGTATTATGCATTTAATACATTTATGTAAATTGTCACAATTTTAAATCTAAGTTCACTCGTCATTGTTATTATATTATATGATATGAACCCTTCATTACTAATTACTAAAAAATATATTTCACCCAAGATTATATGACAAATAATGAAAAATTTTAATAATTGGATTCACAGCTATATTTCTTCTATCGTCTTATTTTTGTGTATTAATATTTGTAATCTGTATTATAAGGTAAGTAGGCTTCATATGCGTAGGGTGATCAAATATATCGGGGGGGCTGCAAAAATAATAATACTTAATAAGAAAAAAAAAACACTAAACTAAATGAAAATAAGACATTTATTTGTTTTCAACTATAATTCCAAGCGTCTAWTRGTTTTTGAATAGATATTTAATATATCATTAGAATCAATATTATTTGAAATATCTCTTTCAATATTTAGTATTGCCAGTGAGGAAAAACGGTCTTGAGTCATAGTTGACCGTATATATGTATTGATACGTCTCATTGTCGAAAATGACCTCTCACACGATGCTGAAGAAATTGGTAAGGTCAATAATTACAAGAGTGATCATTTTAGTATTATCATTCATTCATTCGTCACAAGTTCAATATAATAAGCACAATAATTTATATTTAACTATTTTAACTCGACGAAATAATCAAAAATAATACAAATAATTCTGGGGGGGCTAATATTCGCACTGGGGGGGACTAAGCCCCCCAAGCCCCCCTAGATACGCCTATGGTAGGCTTCAATGTCTTTTTTACATTATTGGTGGCTCAAAGAACTAAAACTTTTAGAAACATTTTAAATGCCATAAGAATATTGTACATAAATGGGACATCCAGGCCCGTCGCTAGAGCATAAGCAGGTTAGGCTATTGCCTAAGGGCGGAAACATTTTCAATGAAACTGGGGCGGCATTTTTTTATGATGGAAAATTCGTTGTATTAAATTGTTTTAGTTGTTGGCAATCAATAATAAATCCGAAAGATGGATATCACATTTCAAAACAATACTATAGTGACATATAAAAGCAATTTGAGTAGTGAGTATCTATTATCAGAGCCGTGTTAAGGGGGGGGGGGGCAAAGGAGGAAATTGCCCCCGGGCGCCGTAGTTTGTAAAAAAATGGGGCGCCTTTATTTGCGCTTAATATACTACCTGTGACTCCGAAAACCAAATATGTTATAATTTTATTATTATATAATATATTTTAGTATTTTAAGGTCTATTTTAAAAGCATGTGCCATGTATAATAATATGGTACTGTCTGTGCCAAATATAGATTACCTTGGCGACGGCGCGCGGCGAGTGATAAAGAAAAACCCATTTCTCCGTATTTAGATATTATTACCGATTATAGCTAAATATTTTTAAATTGATATTAGTGATAATATTTTTATATTACCATAGAACAATATGTCTGTTCTAACCGTTACTAACTGACGACTATATACACAGTGCTCAATTATTCACTATTGGACAGTTGTAGTTATAAGTTGTCACATTGTGCGCGTTTTATTTTTATAATTGACGTAGGTAAATTACAATTGCTAATAATTTGGTAAGTTTTTACAGTTTAATTTGTATTATAATTATGCTTTTTTATGACTTGGGTAATTTGGCTTATAAATTATATTTTATTTATATTGGCTAATGGCTTGTTGATAACTACTTATAGTTAAGTATTTGCACGTTGAATTATTCCTAATTTTCGTTATGAAGTCAGTAAATGAAGTTGGAAAAAAGAAAGCTAGTGGCTGTAAAAATAGGAAGAGAGCAAAAGAAAATGCTCAAAGAAATGATTTGATTGTTTCGAAAATACCTAAATTGCAAAATGATTTTTTTAAATTAAAGACAGGTGGGTACAAAAATATAATTTAATACATCTATAAAGTCTACTTAATAAAGTCATATTTAATTTAATTGTGGACCTATATTTGTTATAATTACTTAATTTATTGTTTAGTTGAGACTGAATGTTTGGGAAATAATATTGATGATCCAGATCCAATTTAAATTTCTAGTTTTTGTGGAATGTACTATGACCTACCTTATATTGTATGAATATTCAATTTTTTAATTTTATAAACATTTTTAATTTTAATTTTAATYTATCCRTGTTATGCRTTGTAAAAAAAATTGTAATCCTGTTTTTATTTTTAGTTGATACTGGATTGAGAAATATTGATGATCAAATGCTCATTTCTGGTTCTGGTAATAATTCATTGAAAAAAAAATTTATATTTAATTTTTTTAATTAATGCCCCTAATAAAAATAAAGAGTTGGTGAATTTTAATGTACAAACATCAGAATTTAATAATCTAGATGAGATTGACATACACAATGTAAGTATATTTAATAATTGATGTGTTTAATGCAGCGGTTCCCAACCTTTTTGAGACTATTACTCAAAAGTCAGGTTAGATATTCCCAAATACCCCCCGACCCAAAAAAAAGTTGAGTAAAAAAAAAAACAAAAACAAAATATATATTATGATGATAATTATAATTTATTTAATTTTTGCAAACAAAGAAAATTAGTTTTTATTACGATTTAACATTAATGAGACGGTTGATATTGTTTTTTTCTAACAATTTCTTTAATGTTCGGTTCAGTTTCGGCCAATGCACATCTTAGGTCGTGTTCCAAGTTTATTCGGTTTCTTGCTTTTGTTTTCATTGTTACCATTGTTGAAAATCCACTTTCACACCTGTACGTTGTGGAAAAAGGGATCAGTATTTTCAAGGCTTTTTCTGATAATAATGGATACTCGCCACCAATTTTTCGCCAAAATGTTGCTAGTTGTGTGTTTTCAAAATCTATTTGAGGGGCGCGAAAAAATGTTGCCCCAGGGCGCTGGAAAGCTTGACACGGCTCTGTCTATTATCCTATCTATTGTTGTATATTATATCCTATTGTTGTACACAATATATTATTATTCTATATTTATCTATATATAATACCAGTGGCACCGAGTCCTATAAATTTAAGTGGAGCAAAATCAAATTAATTACACACCCACCCACCCACCTACCACAATAATATTTAAGTTTGATTACCTATTTCAATTCCCATGCCAGTTTTTTAATATTTTTATCCTGTAGTGGTAGCTATTATAATTATATTACATTTAATATTTTTATCATAGGACCATAAATGTTACATAACAAAAATGTATATATAAATGATTATTACATTGAAAATAATAATAGAAAATTTAATAATAAAAATTAATTGTCAAACATAACATCAAAAACTTAAGTATAACTAAGTATATTATGTTAAGATTTTATTACAAAATACAAAATACAAATTACAATAACAATTTTGCAGTGCAGAACTGTTGGATGCAAACATATTAATTACAGTTCCAACATCAATAGGAACATTTAATTCACAAGAAGTTATCATTAATGCTTCAAGTCTCTCTTCATTCATAGTTGATCGTAAACGATTTTTAATTAATTTAAGCTTTGAAAAAGCACGTTCCGGAGAAGCACTAGATAGCAACGTCACAGCTATGCTTAAAGCAGTATACATGTGAGGAAAGATTTCTTTTAAACCAAACGACCGACATATTTTGAAAATTTTTTCTATTGATTCACAATTTTCTTCCTTTTTATTTTGACTTGGTACATTAGGCTCTTCATCGCTTTCTTCAGTTTCCTCTTCAAATTCATTTAGTAATGCATCATTGAGTAGATTTTGTGGTAAAATCATTATTTTTTCAAAATGAGAATAGTAACTGGAAAATTGAATATATTCTTTTCTTAATGTATCCAAATCAACAAACTGACCGTAAACATCACAAAATGCTTTAAATGCATCATCTGAGATATAAGATGTTTTAGCTACTTCTTCAAGCCTTTTGTGTGAGAACAGGGATAAATCTTTAAATAAAGGAACTGAATAATCATTAAATCGATCTGATATTTGTGTTGATACAATATCTATGATTGTAAAATAGACATTAATTTTAAAATTTTGGATTGGATTAATTATTGGCTCATCAGAAGATATTTCTCCAGCTATATTTTTTACACGGCGCACACGTTTTGAAGGTAAAGGAATAAATGCTATATATTCTTTAGATTCAATGAAATTTTCTTTTTCATCTAGTAGTTTGTTGAATTCTTCATCACATCGGAACTTTTTAATTTTTTCTAGACTATTTTGCATATAATTTATAGCAGCCAATAAATCAATGTCTACATTTTGAAGACATTTACTTAAAATACTAGTGGTATCAAAAATATTTTTAAAACATAAGGCAGTCAACAAAAAACGTTCTTGAAACAAATAATGAAGTAATCCTCCAGCCTGAATACTTGATACTCTATCCGTTGTAGAATCATTTTTTAATTCATCTAAAGCGTCAACTATTGCTTCATAAGTACAAAATACAGTCTTAAGTGCACTTGAATGAGACGACCAACGTGTAGTTTCAACTCGTTTAAGTCTACGTAAAGGTTTTCCTGGATATCTCAATTTCTGATGTTTAGTGAAGCAATGTGAACGTTTCTTACTACTTCCCATAAAAGTGTACAAAATTTCTAAATTACCAAAAAGATCTCGAGCTTCTGAGCAACAACAAACCGCATCTACAATAACTAAATTAAAACGGTGAGCCCAACACCAAACATATGTGGCACTTGGATTTTGCTGTTTGATCAAAGCCTGAAGACCATTATAAGACCCTCGCATAGATGCTGCGCCATCATACGACTGTCCAATGAGGTTGGTTTTCCAATTTAAATTCATTCCTGAACAAATGCCATTGAACATTGTCAATAAATGCTGTCCAGAAGTTAGAACAGTTTCACGTATGCCAATTAACCTCTCACACACATTTCCATTATCTTGATTTATGTACCGAATCACTAAAGATAACTGTTCCTTTTTAGATAAATCAAACGTTGTATCTAGTGAACAACAAAAAAAAACTGAATTTGTAATCTCACTTTTTATAATATCTTGTATGTGCTTTGAAATGGCTAGAATCAATTGATTTTGTCGCTCCCATGATATAAAGTTCACTATTTTCCTACCTTTTAACTTGAGAGTTGATGCATATGATGATAACGCAGGGGAATACTTTGTCAACAGTAACACAAGATCTTTAAAATTCCCTTTATTATTTTCGTCCCAGCCTTCTTTATGCCCACGAAAAGGCAAGGAATGACGTCCTAAAAACAATGTTACATCAATCAAATGTCTGACTACTTCTTGGTTAAATGCAACATTAGCAACAGCTGCCTCCTTTAATGATGGTATGATTGGAAACGCAGCTTCTCTGTAAGCAACTTTTATTGAAGCCAAAATATGTGGTTCAGATGTTTCATGTACAGTTATACTGAATGCTCCTTTTCTAAAATTACAAAATCCGATTTTTGACCAATTTTCTTTACATCCACGACCAAATAATGCACAATAAAGACAATACAATTTGTTCTCAGTTATAGTGTAAGATAAACATTTTCTACGTGTTATTTCACCACTAGGTAACTTTATCCAATACCAGGATTCATGGAAACGTCTGCCTGATTTTAATAAAAATGTTTTTATAACATATTAATTATTATGATGGTTTTTAAAATTAATTTTTATTATATAATTCTACAGTGTTGGAGATTTATATATTTAGTTTATTTGTATAACTTATATTGTCCTATCTTTATCTAGGTACCTACTAACAATGTTAAAAACAACTTTTCTTAAGAAAAAAAAAACATTCAAGTAGAATACAATTAAATTTAAACTTCAATAAGGTAATATCAACAATGTATATAAGTACAAAAATTCTAATTAATTCAATGAACCATTAAATCAATATTTTATTTATTTAGTTACCTTTATAGGTACAGACGTTTTATTAATGCCATTTTCTAAAGAAATGCTGAGTTGATCACCACCATTATTTGTAATATCATAGTTTAAAGGTTCGACACTAACTTGAACTGCACTTCTTTCTGTTTGATTATAATCTTTAAGCAAAAAAAAATCAATATTACTTAAAAATATACACCTATTTAAGTAATTTCAATTGTATATTTAAGTACAAAAATTCTTATAAGGTCAATGAATCATTAAATTAATATTATATTTATTTATCGAGTTACCTTTGGGTACAGATGTTTTATTAATGTCACTTTCTAAAGATTTAATGTTGACTTGATCACCACCATTATTTGTAATATCATCGTTTAAAGGTTTGGCACTGACTTGAACTGCACTTCTTTCTGTTTGATTATAATCTTTAAGCAAAAAAGTTTAAAAGTTCATATTCTGGTTTGTAAAAACAATAAAAAAAAAGGAATATTTATTAAAATTAAACAATCAATATTACTTAAAAATATACACCTATTTAAGTATTTAAGTAATTTCAATTGTGTATTTAAGTACAAAAATGTAAAAATCTTTAAGCAAAAACACATTTTGCTATTATAATTTAAAAATACTAAAAATTTAAATTTGCCTTATTAGTTAATTCACTTACCATTGAATGCAATTTGTTTGGAGATAGGTTTCTTATTGAAGAATGATTTAGGGCCGTATTTATAATCGATTCTTAAGAATAAGTATTGCTTAAGTCATGCTTATGACTTAAATGAGATTCATAAATAGTACTCGAGCTTAAGAAAATGAAAAGTATGACTTATTCAGAAGATTTTAAAAAGACTGGTCTTGACCATGCTTAAGAAATTCTTTTAATAATAATGATATTGTATACGAGGTACGTTCATGATTTTTTTTGTTTTTGACCATATCA